GAGCCGGAAGGGTTCGTGGCGGGCAGGGCTGGGGCAAGGAGAGTCCACTGGAGTCAGGGCTGGGGTGGGTGGAGAGTCCTCTAGGGTCACCTGGGGCAGTGGCGGGGTAGAAGAAAGTGGGTCAGGGCTTGGGGCGAAGTCCTATGGGGTCTGGACTGGAGGAGGACGTGAAGGCTAGGTACACTCACTGCTTGGGCCCAGCCAGCATAAGGTCCCCACAGGCTCCGGAAAAAGCTTCCTAAACCAGAAGTGGTGAGGCGACATTGATTGGCCCTCCTGCTCCCTATCCACAAGGGTGGGGTGTAGGGGGAGGTGTGGGAAATTTCCACCACCTCAGCCCACTGCCAGCCCCGACATCCCACTCTCTCCTTACCCAGTTCCTTGTTGGCCTGGGGGCTCGGACCCTTGGCGGTGGTGGGGTGCCAGCTGTAGTCACATTGAGCGATCTGCCACACATGGACGTCCACGGGCACAGCCTGGGGCTTGTCTAGGGCCATCAAGCAGATGCAGTCGGCCACCTTTGACAGACACAGAGTGAGCCACAGAGGAGGAATGGCAGGGTCCAGCCAGCAACCTGCTTCTAGCCCCAAAGCCAGCTGCCTCCTTCTCCACTCTGAGGTTACTATGATTGTACATTCTATTAATAATTTAAAAAACAGCTGTGTGGACTTCCCTGGTGGCACAGTAGTTAAGAATCCGCCTGCCAATGCAGGGCACATGGGTTCAAGCCCTGGTCCAGGAAGATCCCACATGCCGCGGAGCAACTAAGCCCATGCGCCACAGCTACTGAGCCTGCGCTCTAGAGCCCACGAGCCACAACTACTGAGCCCATGAGCCACAACTACTGAGCCCGTGCACCTACAGCCTGTGCTCCGCAATGAGAAGTCACTGCAATGAGAAGCCCGCATATTGCAATGAAGAGTAGCCCCTGCTCACCTCAACTAGAGAAAGACTGCGTGCAGCAACAAAGACCCAATGCAGCCAAAAATAAATAAATAAATAAATTTTAAAAAAAAGAAATAGCTCCTGGTATTAAGAAATTCTTTTAAAAAAAATATAGGGCTTCCCTGGTGGCGCAGTGGTTGAGAGTCCGCCTGCCGATGCAGGGGACACGGGTTCGTGCCCCGGTCCGGGAGGACCCCACACGCCACGGAGTGGCTGGACCCGTGAGCCATGGCCGCTGAGCCTGCGCGTCTGGAGCCTGTGCTCCGCAGCGGGAGAGGCCACAACAGTGAGAGGCCCACGTACTGCAAAAATATATATATAAATAAATAAATAAATAAATAAATAAATAAAAAACAGCTGTGATGAGAGTGCTACTGGGTGAACGTCTTATGTGTGTCAGGTTCTTGTTTTTTTTTTTTTTAATAAATTTTATTTATTTATTTATTTAATTTATTTTTGGCTGCACTGGGTCTTCATTGCTTCACGCGGGCTTTTCTCTAGTTGCGGTGAGTGGGGGCCCCTCCTCGTTGTGGCGCGCAGGCTTATTGGTGTGGCTTCTCTTGCTGTGGAGCACGGGCTCTAGGTGCATGGGCTTCAGTAATTGTGGCACGCGGGCTCAGCGGTTGTGACTCGTGGGCTCCAGAGTGCAGGCTCAGCAGCTGCGGCCCCCGGGCTTAGTTGCTCCATAGCATGTCGGATCCTCCCGGACCAGGGCCCGAACCTGTGTCTCCTGTATTGGCAGGCGGATTCTTAACCACTGCGCCACCAGGGAAGCCCCGTGTCTTGAACTTTTAAATGTTTGATCCAGGTAGTACATTCTCAATTATCCATTGAAAGGAATAATGCTACACCTTCCCTAAATGAAAATATTAGGCAATTCAAGAAATATTATATATAGCTTAGCTAATCCAGGGATAAAAATTAATTTGTTTTGTGCATACACTTAAGGTGATAATATCATGGTAAGGAAATAATGTAAAGATATTTATCCTCGGTGCCAGGAAGTTATTGGGGAAGGGTTGGTAGAGGTAGAAGTAAGTTATAAATAACTCACATATAGAAAGTCCAGGGCTACTTATATCTACTTTATAAATATTAATTGATTACAAGCTTCCAAAAAATAAGTTAATGTTATCCTAAATAGTTCTAGAAACAGTTACCTTTGAATTTTTTGTATATTTTTCATACATTTTTTTCAGTGACTGAATGGAAAATCCCTAATCCTTAATAGAGCTGCATTTCTTTTACACAAAATGCATTTTAAATGGTCAGCAATCATACTATTTTTATACCTGAATAATGTTAATTAATACATTAAAATTCATGTAACATATTTTGTGATCCCCAGAAATGACTCTTGCTTATTAAATGTTGATATTTAGTATCCCTCTTCCTCCAACAGGTCATGTTTCAGTTCCATTTATGATTATCAGCTTTCCTCATATCAGATTTTTTTTTTTACCATCAGCCTAAATTTCATCACAAAATCATTTATATTTGTGGGCCTCAAAGTACCCATATTATTCCATCTTGCCAGCTTATTTTCCCAAAAAGTTAAATTAATCTGTGAAATTGTTTGACTCAAGTCAAGCAGTAAATTGGTGAACCAAGCCTAAATCTGTGGCTCACATTCCTGATCCTTTATATCTAACCTTTTAAGCGATACTTAAATATTTTAAACTTTTTATTGTGTGTGTGTGTGTTCCATTTTTTATCAGAGCATTCTATTACTTATCTTTCCTAAATGTTGCTTGTTCCCTATCATTAAATGCTGTGGATAATGAATACTATCTGCAAAATCTATGTTTTACTAAGAGAATTCCATTTGTGGTTTCATTTGATTTTCACTGCTGTGACCTTGTCTTTTTTTACGACAAAGATGTATAGATGTCATAGGTCATTCTGTACCCTTTCTTACCAGATGCACTGTTGTCTTTCTAATTCCTCTCTGTTGTCAAGGACATTTCTGCATATCTTCAACAATAATGAGAAGACTATATAAATTACTGAAATAAAAGTATATATAATACATTTTTGCATTTTCAAAATTTGCAAGTAGTAAGAAGACACAAAAGCTGATGTTAAGCTATGCTGTGTAACAGCTAAGCTACTGCATATCTCAATCTTTTCCACTTTGCATCTGTATTGAGTAAAGTATACCACTGCTTCCCTAATTTTCATTGTATGAACTTACTAAATCCTAAAAATACCATGGCCTCTTCCGTTGCGGAGCACAGGCTCCGGACGCACAGGCTCAGCGGCCACGGCTCACGGGCCCAGCCGTTCTGCGGCATGTGGGATCCTCCCGGACCGGGGCACGAACCCGTGTCCCCTGCATCGGCAGGCGGACTCTCAACCACTGCGCCACCAGGGAAGCCTGGTAGGTGCTATTCTTATCCCATTCAATGGATTAAAAAACTGAGGCACACAGAGGCTAAATAATGTGCTCAAGGTCATATGTGTAGAAGTCACATGCCAGAGTTGAGATTCTGACCCAGGCAGGCTGTCTCTAGAACGCACGCTCTTAAGCCCAAATTACTGTACACTGTATACAGATGTCTTCTGATGAGCCATTGAACCCATGGGGCAAAAAGCCCAGACCAGTGAGGTGCTGACGTTTCAGGGACAGATAAGGAAGATGTGGTGTAACTGGGGCTGATCAGACCAGGCAGGGCAGTATTCTGGATGAGGGCAGTATTTAGAAAGGCAGGAAGCTTTGAGATGGGAGAAGGGCACCAGGGGAGAACTGAACAGACCCTGAAAGCTGCTGGAAGGCGCAGAGGCAAGGACCCACCTACTCACCAGCCAGGGCCTGCAAGCTGGGGAAGCCATGGTAGGTGACATCATCAAGCTGGAGGAGCCGAGGTCCGAAGGTCTGGCAGAGCCGCTCCACCATGCCAGTGATGCGGGCAATGTTGTTGTTGGAGGAACAGATGAAGGAGAAGAGGCACTCGATGGGGTCCTGTTGCAGGAGTCGCACACCTGGGGACCATAAAGGCAGGGGGACCAGAAATCACCTGCTATTGGGAGTGCCCTCTTCTCACCCTCAGATTCTAGGTACCAAGGCTCCGGGTTATCCCAGGGGAATGAGGGACAGCACTGTTAGAGAAAGGAACACCAGAGCTCTCATTCCTCATAGCATCTCATTCCTCATAGTGTCTGGGTTATCATCCCATTCCACAGATGAAGAAGCCACAATGTAAGCACTATGAGGATGGGGATTTGTTTCTGTTTTGTTCACTGTGGTATCCCCAGTCGCATGGCTGATGCTCTGTGAACATTTACAGAATGAATGATGTCACCAGCCCCAGATCACACAGGCAGGATTTGGCTCAATATCCTTGTCACTCCACTATCGTGGTCAGCAGGACAATAATAACAGTAGTAATAATTACTATGTGTCAGGCACTATTTTAAGCACTTTACATGTCTTAGCTTCTTTAATCCTCATAAAATCCTATGAGGTGGATATCATCCCTATTTTACAGATGGTGAAACTGAGTAACTTAACCAAATCACAAGCACCCCAACCCCTGCCTCAGGCTCTGTACTCACCTTGGAATTTCTGAGCCACCTCTTGAAAGTGGGGGTCCACAGAACTCCAATGGTGATACAGCTGAGCAAGGCTGACATCCAGCCGGAAGTACTGTCGCACGGCCTTTAGCTCTTCCAGTGTGGGCTTGCCAACCCGGCCCTTATCCCCTCGGTACACAGTGCAGTAAAGATGCTCCTCAGTCTGGGTCAGAGTCCATACCTGGTCGGCCAGCACGCCACTCCAGTGCGCAGGGCTTTGCTCCCTCCACCTGACTCCCAGGCACAGGGCAGCCCTAGCACTCAGTTTCCCTTCCTGCACCCTTTGGGGCCCTCCCATCTTATAACTGCGCCATATACAAAACTGACTCACAAATTGCAAAGTAAAAGTGCTTTCTTTTACATCAATTATATCATGTAATCCTCGCAACAACACTGCGCAGGCTTATTACCTCACCTCCACTTTATAAAGCATGTAACAGGGTCACCACCCGTGCCTCAGTCTCCTCTCTTGTACTCTGAAGTTTCTTCCATCACCCCCAATGCAGCCCAGGATCTGCTGTGCCGAGGAGCCAGGAGCCAGGGTCACTCACCGGAATGACTGTCCAGAAGCCAGAACCAGGTCCAGGCGGAGCTCAGAGCGTGGACAGGGGATGGAGGCCCACAGGGCCGGGACGGAGGCTAGAGTGCGATGTCTCATGCTACGCTGCAAAAGGGAGCGGGCTAACATTTCCACGTCAGGCTCCGCCCCATGATGCCCTCGCCCACTCAAAGCAGCTCTACGCTCCGCCGAGACCCCGCCCCAAAGGTCACGCCCCTCTAGGCCTCGCGCACCGAATCCTAGCCTCTTAATTTGCTTATTTAAGGCCCGCCCAGTTTTATTTAATTTCTCCACTCCCCACAGGCCCCACTCCTTGCGGTCCCCCAACGCTCCGTCCCTCCCACTCTGTCCCGACACTCCCGTCCTTCCTCCTTACGTATCCTCCCCCGCCCTCCACAGCCTCCGGGCGCGCACCACTGTCCCCACTGACCCAAAGAGCTGCCGCGACTTTGGGAAGCGCGCGGAAGTGCTCTCTTCGGCTTTCTCCGGGGTGCGCCCTCTCTCACCGGAAGTACGGTTCAAGCCCGGCTAATTGGATCCAGAGGTAGCCAATCCACGGAGAGTTAAGAGTCGCCAACAAGAATCTGGCGGCGGGTGGGCGGGCCTCTCCGTGGCGCCGCAGCGGTTGGCGCGCGCTGGGCTAGCTGCCCGCCTTTGGGCTTTCCTCCGTGGGCTCGGCTGCTGCACTCGGCACGCCGGTGTGTCCCATCCCCGCTCTCCAGGGTCCGGGCGCACTGTTTGACCTCAGGCCCCAGTCCTCACTGCCTGATCTTCTCAGAGCCCTGGGATTCCTCAGGGTCTGCCCGCCCACAGAACCAAGTCCTATCCCTCGTCGTCCTTAGCCTTTCTTACCGAGCCTCTCCGGGCTGATCGTCGCCCTCCTCAGTCGGCCTCCCCTGAACCACCCCCTCACTGAGAATCGCGCCGGAACGCAGCTCCGGGCCCGCCGAGCCCCTGAGGTGTCTCCACGGCGTCTGGCTCCCGAGGATTCTGCCTTCGCGCTCACCCGCTGAGCCGCTACCCTCCTAAGGGCTTGTCCCTGAGCCTTGACGCTGTAGGCTTAGGCCTCCTCACAGACTTCCTCGTCAGAGGCCTGCCTCCTCGGACTGTCCCGCCGGGCGCCGCCCGCTGGCCGCCACAGCTGCTCCCTCTGCCTAGGGCCTTCCTCCACAGCACTCCCTCGGCCCTGCCCAACGGGGCCTGGGTAGGCCTTCCTCGGGGACTGCGCCCAGCAGCCCAGAGAGGCCACAGGACCACCAAGTGTGTGGCCCCCCGGGCAGCCCCGGTGTCAGGGTCGGCTACCTGGCCCAGGAGAGCTGGATCATGTAACTTCTTACCTTCTGGAGAACGGCACAAAAAGCAGGGACACAAGAACGGCCTCTGGGCGGTGATTCTTGGTTACTGTACCTGAGCCATTAGCCTTCAGATTCCTTAAGGGACAGACAGGCAGCTGATTTATTTCTGTGTCCCTCTTGCCACAGTTCCTAGCAGCGGGGGCTGTGAGCCTGGCAGTGTCTCGGTTCTGGGCTTCAGGAGTTACCAGGCCCTGGGGCAGCTGCTTCCTGTGCCCGTCTCCTCTGCAGGCACGACAGCCCACAGGTGCCTAGTGCTTAGAGGGCATTCCTCCAGTAAATGCTTAAATTGGAAGAGAAGGTGTCAAGGTGGGGAATGAAGAGTCCCTCTGCATCCCTGCTCAGGCCCCAGCTAAACAGGGGACGAAGGGTCACACACAGCTATAGTGACTCTGAAGCAGTACCTGGACCATCTAACTGGCAAAGGACTCGAAGCATCTGCAGTTCACGAAGGAATGGCCACTAGACCCTTCCCTTCCAGCCTTTCGGCATTACTGGTTGAAGAGCCGGCTTTGGAGGCAGGCTCTTGTTCACATGCTAGCTCTGCGACTTCCTAGTTGTGGGAACTTTGGCAAGTTACTTAATTTGTCTAAACCTTGGTGTCTTTGTGGAGATAACTACCCTGTCATTAACTTTCCCCGTAGTTATTGCAAGGATTATACAAAACTGTGTATCTAAAGGTGCTTCAGCACAGGGTCTACCACTCAGTGAGGGACATGGGGAATGGGAGCTGTCATACTGGGTTAGCCAAAAAGTTCGTTTGGGTTTTTCCGTAAGATGTTACAGAAAAACACGAATGAACTTTTCGGCCAACCCAATATTATCTTTGCTGTTGTCTTACAAATGCAGCAGGCACAGCAGCCAGCAACCACTTGGGCCCAATTACTTACCATCCCCGAGGAACACAGCCTCACTTTTGCCCTGGCAGAAGGCAAGAACCAAGAATTCCAAACAGACCATTTATTTTCTAAGAATCAATATATTTTCTTCCTTTGAAATAAATACAAACCAGTTTGAAAGGTGGGGGAATCTATGGGAAGAAGGGAAGTGGGGACAGGCCCCAGTCTTTTTTTTAGTACCAAATGACTCTGGCGCGACCCGGAAACGCAGTTACAAATGAGAATAATTTAAATTCTCCACTATTTACAGTATTTACAACAGCAGGGGAGGGGGGTCACCTAGTGCCCCTCTTCCGGGCTGGACAGACATCAATCTCACTGCTAGGCTGTGCAGATGCCAGCTCACCTCACCACCTCAGGGGCCTCAGGCCACTAGGCAGTTAGGGGTTCTCCTGGCATGAGCAGGCAGAGGTGGTTGGATGGCCTGTTTTACGCAGCGTCCTAACCTTGGCCCACCAACTTGCGCTACAATGCTGTGAGGTCTCTGGAGCTTTCTGGCCTGTGGAACCTCCCCTCTCACTGCGCAGAGCCCCCATGGGCCCTTGGAGTGTTCTGTACAGTCCAGCTGCACTCAGGGCGGGAGGGACCTCCCCCACCCAGCTTCCCCTGAGACTGGCCCCAAGACCAGGAATGAGTCAGTGCAGAGGCCGGTGCCACTCCAGGACAGTGAGCAAAGGGGAGGAGAGAGGTGGCAGGGCACTGTAGGTTGGGTTGTGCTGGACAGTATCAGTCACTATCGCTGGTCTCACTGCTCTGCTCGCCCTGCACCTTGCTGCGGTGCTGCAGAGCCCTGTGGTACGCGATCTGTACTGACTTGCGGATGTTGGATTTCCGGCCCTCCAGCATCTTCTCCTTGTCAAGGTCCTGGTTCACGCCCAGAGGAACCAGCTTAGTCCTGGGCAGCCACTGCCTGTAGGACGAGGTGAGAATCGAGTAAGTCATCTCTTATCTCTGGGGGAGCAACAGGCACCAGCCTTCCTCACTTGTTCATTCCTTCAAAAACTCCTCCTGAGTGCCCCACTGTGGGCCAGGCTCTGGTGGGAATTAAAGAAACCAAGAGATGCAGTCCCTGCTCTCAAGGAACTGCTCACAGGCTAGTGATGAAAAGAGCCCAGTCATTGGTCACAACGGGGTAATCATAGGGTAGTTATGGGCACAAAAAGGAGCCTTGACCTACTCTGAAATAGGTACCTTGTCCAGTGGGCTCCAGGCAGACTTGACTGACATTAACCATCCTCTAAAGACAATTAACAACCAGAGACCACACGTGTAAGTGTGACGGAACATGGATTCAGAACCTGAATGATTATGCCTGCTTTATCCCCATCTTGTCACCATGGAGGCAGAGGTGGGAAAAGTAAGTCTAAAAGCCACCTTAGTCAGGGTGGGGAGCCACCCCCACACTTGTCACAGTCACTCACGGTCCTTTGATTTCTAGCTACAGCTGTCTGTCAGCTGCTGCCCGCTCAGTCTCTCAGACTCTTGGTCAACACAACCCTTTTGCTCAAAGATCTAAGTCCCTCCCCCACTGATTTATGACAGCTCAGGCTGTCTGTTGCTGGAGTTCCCTGGCAACCTGCCCCGATACCGAGGGTTGCATCTGTGGCTATGAGTCACATCAAATGCTCCCCTCCTCCCTTACCAGGTTCGCTTGTTGTCAAAGAAGAGGACGAGGTAGAGATGCTCTCGGGCTTCCTGGGTCATCTGTTCCCCAAGTTTCAGCACCTCCAGTGGGGGCACAGGGATGGGAACCCCATGGTGGAACATACCTTCCCGGGGCATCTTTGGATCAATGATCTAAGGGTGTAGTAAGACCTTGGTTTAGTTCAGTCTCCTCCTTCCCAAGGCTTACCCCATCCAAGAATTTGGAGACTACGTCTGAAGTGGGAACAGAAAGAGGTTATCACACGCCTAGGGCTGCAGTGCTGACCCTTGGCTTACTCCCATGCTGAACTATTTCAGAGCCCAAGGGGCAAAGGGAAGAAAAAGGGAGAGATGGAGAAACTAACCAGGGACCTCTAAGTGTCTATCTGCCAAAGACTCCTGTGCTCTGCAGCTCAGCAGAGAGTAGGAAAAGTCTGCTACTTTTGAGTGTGTGTTCTGGGGTTGGAAGACAAGGGATATGACAAGAAAAGTGGAAGCCTACCAGAGCTGGGTATGATGGATACCCTCGGCATTTGGCCCACACCAGGTCCAGAGCATCCAGCGGGGAGTCCTCATCCTCCGACAGCCAGCCAGCTCCCCGGCCCAGACTCTTCCTTACCACTTCACAGGAATGGGAGAGAGGGGGCGGATCAGCAGTCTGGGGTCTGGCAAGGCCCTGACACTGGGCCCCCAGAACCCCTGGCTTTGGGCAGGCGTACTTACTGCTGTGGCCCACGCCGCGGCCAGTGCCCACGGAGTAGGCCTCGTTCTCAGTGCCTGAGGTATCTTCACTGCTATCCTCTGGGAACGTGCCCCGAGAGAAGGAGGGCTTGCCCCGGCCTTGTTTTGAAGGCGTTGTGCTGTGGACAAAAGGAAAGCTCAACTCAAAGGAGGGGAAGAGTGGGGAATGGCATGGTGGGTATCCTCCCTTCTTTAAGCCCCTAGGGTCTAAGACGTTTGGAAAGCAGAGGCTACTTGAAGAATTTCAAACTCAAATGCCCTCAGGGACTTGGGGGTGATCTGACTGAAGTGGGCTGGATATAGCAGTAGTGATGAATGCATGCACCCGTCTTAAGTCAACAGTGGCCAGAACTGCCAGTCCGACTTTTAAAGAGACTACAGAAACTGGGAATTTTATATGGCACTTCCGAATCTTTTTTTTTTTTTTTTTTTTAAATGCTATGCTGGCCAAACAAAATGTCTGCAGGCCAAATCCAGCCCACAAGGAACCAGT